AGCTACCGTAGTTGCTCCCACACACCCCACCGTCCATTCTTAGTCCCAGGTCATTAAATACAGATGACAGCGGTGTCCATACTGTTAGATGCCACTTAATCCTACACACCGGACCTTTAAATAAAAGTGGACGGTGAAACACAGCTAATAAGCTACAATTCTCATTTTAGACATTGTATGGCTCTCATTCCCTCAACCATTAGCACTGTGAAGACAGCTTGCTATTTGTCAGTGGTGGGCTTTAGAATGTCAAAATTGAACTTGACGCAAATCGGATCCACTGATTGTAGAGAATCCATTGAAATGAACTGATTTCCCCAGAAAAAAAATCAGTTTTAAATGCTGAACTGCACTCTAAATGTAATATTAATTCATTGGTTCATTCATTTATTCATGTGTTCAGTCATTACTTTTCTTTGCACAGCTTATGAGTCAAAGAAGGGCTGTGGCCTGTCTCCAGCCTGTCCTCTGAAAAGTGAGGCAGAAACATTATGAAAATGAAGAGAAAATGAAGGAAGATGATATATCTTCTATGAAGGGAACTCTTCATGGCCAGTGTGGACAGAAGGAATGATTACAGTGACCAATAACTTTCAGTGTACAAACGACATTGTTTTAAAAGAGACTTTAAAAACTCTGAACCTATCCTATAATCTCCTGCTGAGCCAAACACATGATTCTGTAAGATTTGGCATCAATTCTCCGGTCCTGTTGGGACATTTTTAAGTCTTTAATGAAGGAAATTGACATGTGCTGGCATTTGTGATTAGGCAGTTAAAATATTAAAAATAGTTGAAATACTGAAACAGTTGAAGTTGTAGTCGAAGTGGCAGTCAAAATATAAACACTGAGAAAACAGCAGTTAAAATGGAAGTGCTGTGTGAAGTTGAAGTGTCAGTTTGAATGAAATAGGTAAAATTAGGTAAAATGTCAGTCGAAGCATACAGTAGGTGATTGAGCTGGAAGTGTCAGTCTAGGTGGAAGTCCTGAAGAACATATTACTTTTTCAAGCGTATAAACTCAAATAAACTCACAGCTGAAGTGGAGGTGTCAGTTTACGTCCATTTAGCTTATCGAGATGTATACAATTTCTTTAGTAAAACTGGTGATTGAATTCCACATAGTAAAATTATTTCCCAACATTCTTGGCAGGAATGTTAGTGCAAGTAATCCCACACGAGGATGTAGTACATGTATACAAGAACAGATGGTAATTTAACTCCAAAAATGTTTGAAACTGATTGCATTGAACATTTTAGGCAAAACTAACTCAGTTTTGTAAGTTAAAAAACATTCTTGATCAAGTAGCTTCATTTTTTTTTTAAATTTGCACTGTGAAAACAAAATGCCTAGTAAAAACTACTCAATCAGAAATGATTCTCTAACTTACGAAACAAAAAAGTTATCATCATTACACGTAAAAGCTGCTCAATCATCAAGAATCATTTTTAATTTACAAAATTTTGTTTTTGTTACTTAAAATTTATGATGTAATCTGTTTTAACAATTTTTGGAGTTAAAATAACTTCTCGCATTACAGTGCTGTACACATTAAAACACATCTGTCAAACTAATAAACACATAAACTATCAAACATCAACAACCAGAGCAGCTACTTTTCTTAAGGGTAAAAACCACTCCTCTGCATGTTCTGTGACATTATTCACTATTTCTGTTTTCACTATTTCCTCTACACTGGACTACAACTTGTCAATATAAAATGTGTGTATGACAGATGGAGAGGGACAGGGAGAAACAAAAAGATAGAAAGTTAGGAAAGTTTTACATAGTTTATTGCAAATTTGACAGAGGGGACAGATAGATTGCATCTGTGTATTTGTATGTGTGTGTGTGTGAATGGTCTGCACAATGTGAGGTTCCTCCCCGAGGGAGCAAGCTGACAGAAACTGCTAATTAGACTGCCTGGTTTCAAGAAGGAGAGGAAGGAAGGAAAGCTGGGTGGGAGACATTATGCAAGAGCTAGTGAGAGATGGGTCGTATGGATCATTTCTGGAAGTGTATGACATGAGAAAGGGAAGGAGAATTATGGCTGGTTACTGTATTCACCATGAAGTCACCAAACTGCTGGATTAAAAAAACAAAGTAGAGAAAACAAGATGCCACTTGAAGGAACCAATGGCATTGAACTAAAACTGATAACAAAAGGAAAAACTTAATAAGACCCAGGTTATAAGTTGGTTCCTTATGTTGTATCAACCGTACCAAGACATAACTTTGCCTCTAGAATATCTGAATGTTCCACGTGTATATGTTTCTCATGTGGACACCTCTGGCTGCATCCTTGTATATCTGTCGTAAATTCTGTGCTGTCAGAACAGTCACAGTCACTGGAAAAAATCTTCAAGCGTGCAAGAAATAATTTTTAACTGAGTAGATAGCATGATGAATGACAGCTTTCATGGTTAGCAGAGTAGCTACTTAAAGCTGTAGTAGGTACATTTTTATAAAACTAACTTTTTGTCATATTCACTGAAACTCTCACTATATCCTGACAGTAGAACATGAGACAGATAATGTGTGAAAAAATCAGGTTCCTCTGGCTCCTCCTTTTCTTGCAAATGCTACTCAAGTAAGTTTAAATATTTCAAAGTACATTTCCATTATGATTGTAAAAAATGCATAAATATTCATTTTCCTAAATCCACAATCTTTCTGTGGGAACCAAGACATGAACTTGAACCTGTCATAAAAAGTTAGGCTACAAAGCTACAACTTTGAGAACGTATTTAATTAATGTATTTGAAAGGGAAATCGTGCATTTTAGGGCCACATTTTCATCCGGAAATTGGCAGCAGTGACGCATTTCATATAAGAAGCGGGAGGCAAAAGGGGAAGGATGGGTTTAAGAAACATGGCAGAGTGAAAGAAGAAAAGAAAAAGAGAAAATTAGATAGAACCTTTTGTACCCATTCCCCCGCCGGATTCTTTGAAACGTTCTGCATTGCATAATGATATGCAAATATGACAAAATATGAAAGTGGCACTGAGTGGGGAAATCTGGTCTAATGCACTGTTTTCAGAGTATTGAAAAAGTCTTTCAAGCTGAAGAATTCATTTGCCTCTTAAGAAATCCTCATTCAACCATCTCTGCCTCTTTCTGTCTCCATCTTTAACTTTCCTCTTTTACCCAGTTTGCAATTTCTTCCTCAATCAGTCTCCTTCTCCAACTTTCCTCCCGTCTTTCTTCCACTCTTCCCAAAGGATGTATAGAAGTCAATACAGCAGAGAAGCTATACAGTCAAGAGCTCTTAAGTCAAAGTCACCTCCAAACAAACTGCCCGTGCTGTACTGTACAACCATGCATTATTAAGAGCCAACTGTGTTAGTAAAAGCCCAAAAGACTCAAGGGAAAAGGATTTAGAGGGCTGGAATTCATCCTAAAACAACTGCACCGGGGGCAGCTTTCCTATGCCGGCCAACTCCAATGTACATTTTTCTCCACAACTTCTCCTGATTGCTGCTGTGGCAATTTTGAGGAGCAATGAAGCAGAACATATTTGCCTGTTTCTTCACTGCAAGAATGTTTGAGAGAGACAAGCTCGTGGAAGGCGATGAGATTGGTGAGGGGCAGGAGAAAAACACTTTAAACCGGGCAAGGCTCAAAGAAACTCACTACCTTTTTCACTCACATCACACTTATTAACATGTTTACATTTACATGTAAAATACATTAATGCAGGGCTTGTAGAACACAGCTTAAAGCACAACATTATATTTAATATTCACTGCACGTCCAATTTGTTTACCTGACAGCCTGGGAGAGTTGAGGATATATGTATAATCCAGTGTATTTACATGTGAATTGGCTATTGTTAAAACATAATATTCTGTAAGCTGAAATAAATAAATGTTCCTGTTTAAATAGCAGACTGGATACAAAGTATCACTAAAAGCCTAAATCCCTGCATTAGCCTGAAACAGCCTTTAAATGATATCAGGGATGAACTGAAGCTGTGGGTGTGTGAAGCAGTGAGTCTGTATGTGATTTAGGTTTGTCCTGCACTAAAGTTCAAATGGTAAGAAGAATGTGGTGAAAACTTGGGACATCAATCCAAAATATGTAATCATAAATTACAGTCTGACAGACCGGCTGATGGCGTTGCTGTGACAGGGTAGCTAGCAACACGTATTGTGTGCTGGCATGACAAAAAAGCCACTTGAACTGAATAGTGTTATGTGTGTGTGCATGCTAGCAGCTAAGTTGCCTTAATGGGAAGTCCAACAGCATTCTCAGAGAGAATATCCCTCTTCTGAATATGTAACCACGGCGATAACGTTTGTGTATCCTCGAGAGAAATTAGTGTTTTGAAGAGGAAGAAAGAGGTGCAGTAGCAGTGGTGTAAACTGGCAGGTTTTAGTGTTCAGTCTACATTTCTTTACAGGTGGATAAAAGTTTTAACTCATCTAGTTGTGAATATTTAATGTAAACTCACGATGGGGTAGCGCCCCCGTTGAGTAATGCTAGTTCAGATGGTTCAGTTGTAGTAGAAATGGCTTGCACTCTTACTGGTAAGTCTCTGAAACTGTAGGGTTCATGTTTATCTTTGGTTGTGGCTTTTGTTGCTTGTATTTTATTTATATTTGGATTCCAGGATTTGTTCCTAAAAAAAGATAATTCATTCATACTTGATGCTTTGGCCTGAAGCCCTATAATAAGAGTCTGCTTCTGAGCGAGGAAGTGAGGAGAGGAGCGCGGACAAAACTAGTATACTGCCAGCTGCCTGATTTAAAATTAACAGAGAAAGTGAGAAGAGAGAAAGTACAGCACTGGGAAAGACAGAGACACTGAGTGAAACAGACAGAGAATCTCGTCTGTAGTGTTCTGTATTAATGTATGTGCCCCCAGCAAATGGATTGAAATGGTTTCCCATATGTGCCAACAATTGCCATCCACACATAAACAATAAGACAATAATCTAAAAAAACATGTAGAGAAAGTGTTTGGTAGGAATGAAAATGAGCATGGAGAGCAAACCTACCGCATGGAGTGGATTGCCCTGATCGATCGGCACCTTGAAGTCAGCCTGGAGCTCATCAAAAGCTGTTATCTGTGAAGGAGAGAGGAAAAGAAGTGATGAGTATATAATCAGTAAAATAGAGGGGCAATATAGAGTGTCTCACTCTGAAAGCACATCATTATTGCAGACAACCTCCCGTGTGTCTGGGTTGCAGAAAACCATGTTAATAGTATAGATTATCACTACCCGTATTTTAAATAACAAAAAACCCAATTGGTTAATTTAAAGGTTGGTGATATTCCAGGGTTTCTTGTTTTATCACTGAGAACTAATCCTAAAACCAAAAGTGAGAGGATCCTTCAAACAAGTGCTTTCTATCCATGAAAAAGAACAGAACTCATTGTGTCTAAAACTAAAAACACATCAGTAAGCCACACTATTAGCATATAATAAGGAACCATGTTATCATTCAACATTGCAATGAAATTTTTACAACAGTTTGAGCAATGTTTGCTAAAAACTACAGTGCCCAGCAGTGTTTTTGTTTAATTTATTTAAAGTAATTAAAGTGCTCACAATGACAATGCCAACATGTTGAAGTTCAGCAAGTACAGTGTTTACAATGTTAACCGCCTTAATTTAGCATGTAACTGTGCCAACATTCCCTAATTAGCACTAAAAACATTGTCATAAATGGAGCTACACTGGTAGCTTGTTTTTTACGACAGTGCCCAGCTGTTTTGGAAAGAATACTATATATTTGTTACCAGTTTTTAAAGATTTCTTCAGTAGGGCTCAGTGGGCTTCAGGCTGAGTGCCACAGACAGTGGGGAAGTCAGGAAGCTCTGCGAGAGGAGCTAACTCTGGTCTTGAACTTTTTTATGCCATTTGTTGACAACAAGAAAAATACTGAATAGCAACAACTCTGTCTTTTAAGGTCATGACCACACAGACTGATTTATTGAGCATCCCAGTTTTTTTATTGCCTTGTTTCCTCCAAAAAGTTGCTCTGAGACCTCAGGTTAACATGTCTCAATTTCACTGCAGTGTGTGTTATGCTAGCATCATCTGCTGAAAAAAAACAATCCACCTGCTGAACTGTTGGGCAAAAACAGCCCTTAACATGGACATTACATGTAGCTGGAGCTTTCTCGAAGTCGCTTTTACAAGGAGGAATCAAATACCCACATCCTCCATTTCAGAATCATCCTCGTCACCATTAACACAATCTGCTCCAGTTAAAATGTTGGATCAGATCTGCCCAGAGGCACAACATTTGCATGCAAGAGACTCAAAAATCAGAACCCCTTGAATTGGTGTCATCTGATCCTGCTGCTCACCCACTGCTGCACTGTGGGACAGCTCTTAGTAATAATGTCAAGTAATGACGAACAGCAACAATTCCATTGGTGTGTTGCAATGGAGGCAATTGCACTACAAAGACAGATGTCATTGCTTGACTAGTTGGGCCTCAGGAGGGAAGTGTGTGTGTATGAGAGAGCGAGATAGGCACTGCAGGAAGAGATATGAGTGTGTCAGTGTATCTGCATATGAGCCACAGTGTGTGTCTCCAGGGTGTGTGCACCATGTGGGAGCTCTAAGATGTGAGAGCAGCGTGAGTGTGTGTGTGCAGCGTAAGAGAAATTGGATTCCTGTTTGTGTGGTACGGAAGTGTTATCCATGCATTGTGTGCTATATGAGAGGGAAACAGAGGGAGCAGAGTCATGTGAGTTTGTACATGTGAATGTGTGTGTTAGCCCAGTATGGGGAATTAACATCAGAGAGACGGCAGAGGTTCACACCAATCCCGGGTTATTTCCCTGGGCTCGCCCCCTCACTGACAGGCAGATCTTTACATGTTATTTCCCTGTGGATCCCAACAATGATCCTGGCTCGTTGCCTCGCACTGTTACAGTGTGTTAGCCTCCCTGGGCTGTTCCTCATGGGCGACCGGAACACACACACACACACTCAGTCTTTATGGGTGCATAAATCCAAACATATAGTAAAGCGCTCTACGTACACTCTGTCACAGAGATAACAGACATAAAGTGGAGTAGAAATATCTTGCCTATACATCCTTACAACCACATGAGAATACCATTATAGACTGGATGTTCTTATTCACCATCACTTATGATAGCGTTGTACTCAAGAGTAATTGTTGAGATGTGCAAACATGACAACATCGCTACAATAAGGTTTGATGAAGCAAGGAACAATGAGTGGTTAGACAATAAAACCGCTTATAACAATCCATCCATCCATTTTACACCTCTTATCCAGGTCTGGTTCGAAGCTAATCCTTCTTCATAGTTGCTACTCTTCCTGGGACATCCTGAGGCATTCCTGTGCCAGAGGCGATGCTTAATGCCTCCAGCGTATTCTGGGTCTGCCCCGGGTTCTCCTCCCAGTTGGGGGTGTCAGAGAGGTGTCCAAGAGGTATCCTAATCAGATGCCCGAATCATCTCAACTGCCTCTTTTTCGACTTGTAGAAACAGTGGTTCTTCTCCGTCTTGATGGAAACTTAGTTCAGCCGCTAGTATCCGTGATCTCATTCTTTCAGTCATTATCTTGGCCATATATGAGCATCGGGATGTTGATTAACAGGTAAATAAGTAGTTTCGCCACCAGGCCCATTCTCTTATTGTAAAGGGAAACTATAGTTGAACTGACTGCGTAGGAAAGTTGAAAGCTGAACCACGAGGCCAGTCTGTAAACTGTGATGGATATTAATATAGCAATTTCCATCCATAATATCCATTATATATTAAAATACCAGTGTGTAGGATTTAGTGGCATCAATGAAAACATACCTATGAATATTATATTCCATTTCTGCCAGTAGATCCTCCTGAATGTTACACACGTTATAATTTCATGGTTTGTTTTTCATTTCAAATACGTTTAGAGGTTTGTTTACAACCTGTTCCATCAAACCTCTTTTTAGCAAAGTCACCACATTCCCAAATATCAGAAACTAACTTGGTGAGTAAGACTCGTGTTGTAATAAGTGGGTTATCCTTTAAGGGAAAATCCACCCTAAAACAGAATTGCACCCCCCTTGATCTTAGGCTGTTTAGTCAGTCATGATCAGAGGCAACATTTGCCCCAGAGCTGCAGACCAGAGGACCAAAACCAGAATCTCTGACATGCTCACAGGGTGATTCCTGCTGAAGATCCGCTGGCAATGACTATGGGTTGTGTATTTGCAAATGCAGTTCTATTTTAATGTGGATGTTCGCTTTAACAGACTGCTTTGAAGTCAAGGTTGGCTGGCAGTAACAGCAAACAGGCTGGCACCCTCTGCTTCTCTCTTGGCACTCTGAATTCGGCATAAACAGCGTGTTTCAGTGCAGACTGTGGCTGCTATTGGACTGACACCTTGCTATGTGTGTGTCTGCAAGGAAGAACAAGGGAATGGAGAGATGGATGCCGCCTAATTTGTTGTGCATTTGGGTGTGGGGCTGTTGTCTTTCAGTCGGTTGAAGCTATATGACCAACCTAAAAACACGTTTTTTTTCCTCTATGCAGCCTTCAAGGCATTCATATGGAAATAAGATTTAAAACAACAAGATATCAGAGGAACCTCCACTCTGGTGTGAAAGACTACAAGGTCCACTTAAATTATTCAAAGTTCTGTCTCAATTATTCATTGGGATTTTAAACCCTCTCAATATGGGTTAATTTTCTGCACAACCATTCCTCACCAACCTCTGATGCACAATTTAGTACCCAATGAAGCTGGTGCCAAACACTGATTCTAATATGCATCAACCAATTGTAATCTGAACTGTGTTGGATTTAATTCATGCAATCTGTCTCTTCCTATGCATTAAGCAACAGGCATATTGCAAAGTTTACAACACAGGCTGCCCAGTTTCCCCACAAGGAGCAATACATTTTCATCTGATCTCAGTAAAATGCAGCGCCTAGCTAAACAAGAATGGAAAAAGGTCTGATTGTGTTGGTCTTTATTGCTTGTGATTCTTTTTTTTTTTTTTGGAATGGCCGGTTTAATAACCAAATGTTAGGGAAGCGAAATGGCTGGCAATGTCCAGCACAGTTTGGATGCCTCACAGACGAATCCACATGCAAGGATTCTCGCTCAGGGAAGGATTGTCTGCTTCACATATTGATGTTGTTTTTGAAAAGTGGAGCTAAGAAGGAGACCTCAAACACCAGTCCCATTTTTGTTTTAAACCTGTAAAACAACACTGAGTGTATTAGGTTTCTCTATCTCTGCATTTTAAGATCCGTGGACCCTTCTAGGATTGTAGAAGGAACATCAAAATATCCCCTCTCTTGCAGACATCCCAGAGGTCAGCGACTATCCATGTGCTGGAAATTGGCTTGTGTTTTAATTGCAGACATGCTCCCGTCAGTGTCGGCCTGTATCTGTGCTGAACACCTTGGCAGGGGCAGACAGCTGGAGAAGGCAGTTTCTCTGATGCTAATAAACACTGCTGGCACAGTTAACCCCTCCTGCACTGTGACGAGATCAAATGAAACAAATCTCTTCCTTCCAGAAAATTTCTACATCAGCATTCTGTACGCGTGATTCAGCTGTCAGGACTTTCTGCAAAGCCCCCAAAGCCAAACAATAAGCACATCTGCAGCTACAGTGGTGCTTTATTAGACAGAAAATAAACTGAGCATATTCAGCATGTATACGCTCGTTTACATTAAACAGGCAGGTGTGAACACACCTTCTTACTGGCCCATGAAATGATGCTGCAGTGACAGTACTGCAGGATCATATTAGGGTCTGTTCTGGAATCAATGGCAGAGTTACATTACCATGGAAACATTGATTCCAGCAGCAATGGCTTCCTTAACCTTACAGACTGCTACTGAGACACTATTGTGAAGGTTCATCTTTGTGTCATACAGTACTGGATCTGAAGGCAGTTGATAAGCGAAACAAACTGAAGAGATAGACGAAATTATTAAAAAATCCACTGTCCAATTTCAAGTTCACATTTGCCTCAGCAATAAAAACAATGTGTCATCAACAGTCATTTTGTGCATCTTGTTAAAGTATTGGTTCAGACACCATTTAGGCCTCCGATACCGTTTTAAAAGTACTG